ACCATATGATCTAGCAAGTTCATTTCTAAGTATTAGCTAAAGTAAATAAAAGCATTAACTCAAAAATACATGTTCATGCCCATGTTCATTGCAGTGTTATTGACAATAGCCAAGAAATGGAAGCAATGAGAGTGTTCATTAATGAATGGGGAAATGCAGATGTGGAGATACACACACACACACACACACACAATTAGCCATAAGAAATAATTAAATCTTTCTAAATGCAACACCATGGATGGAAATTGAGGGTATCATGGTAAGCGGAATATATTAGAGAAAGACAAATACTGTTTGAGATGACTGTAATACCATGTAGAAGACCAAAAAGTCAAACTTGTACAGATAGAATAAAATGGTGATTATTAGGGGGGTTGGACCAATGGGAAAGATGCTATTTAAAGGTATAAGCTTACAACAAGTAAATAAATAAGTTCTGGGAATCTAATGCATAGAAGAGTGATTTCAGTCAACAATACTGCATTATATAATAACTTTGAAGATGTAAGAGACTGCATTTTAGTTGTCCTTACCACAAAAAAGAAATAGTTATGTAACATGACAGAGGCATTAGCTAACACCACATTACAATGTATAAATATCATTTCTGTTTCTCATTTGGAGAAAGACTTCAGAGAAAAGGTGAGATTTTATAGATGTCAATAAAAGATGATATGTGCCTCTTATGTTCATTCTCAAAAAGTTACTATAAGAGCAGACCACAATGCATGTTTTGTGAACTGCAGTAATGCTAAAGAAAAGTGACATTATCCACTTTTCCCTTCAGTACTTTATGGGACCAAGAAAATCTCTGTTGAGAATAGTTTTGAAATATTGTTAACAGACATAACCGAAGAAAATTTAAATGTCTTAAACTACTTCCTTATTCCCATTTTTATAAAGTAGAGTTTATTGAATTCCTCTGAAGTCAAGACAGCTTGGGAAGTATGTGAGCGTTTGAGGACAGGCCAACAACTGAATCCAAAACATTTCATATGCCTAGAATAGATGCAAAATGTATTGCAACAGTATAAAGACAGGGCTACTCCTACTCACATGGAGGGGGAAGTGTGAGATAAAATTTACTAGAAACTGATTATTTTTCTTCCTTTCCTGAATTCAGGTTTTCTAAATTTCAAGCTATGAGTAATGACAAAGAAGTGAACTAAACCCTATGTTGTAATAATCTAACCATCTGCTAATGAAAATTATGTTTTAAAAAGGGCATATAGGGACAAAGCAATTAGAATATTTTCTACAGCAAATATCCTTCAAAGGCTTTTAAAAATATTTTGCAAGAATCTTCAATGAAAATAAAACTTGAAATTTTAGTCATCTACTTGACTGTGGGAAAAAAAGCACTAAGACACTTTTAATAAAAATGTCATACCGGTTTCAGATTTGAACCTAATATGAAGTACTTTTGAAATATAAACAGTTTCAAGTAACTGTTTATAGTGTTCTTTTTATTTGTTTTAACAATACTGATTCTATATATACACCTTTTTTTTAAGCCAGTCATAAAGTAGTAAAAATTTGATACTTCTAGTTCTTTAAAACACATATATCATCAATAATAGACCATATGTATTTACAGATAAAAGTTAAATTTTTAATATTATTTTGAGTACTTTTCTCTATATAGCAGATTATCTGAGTATTCCATAATTACACCACTGTATTTTCTGTCTAGTTTAACTTTTATTTTTCATACTCACTAGTTAAGTAAGAATCACAGCTAAAACAAAATAGTATACAACCATTGCACTCCCCATCCCCTCACCCCCAAAGAAAAAAACAAAAACTTTTGCTTGGATACAATTCTGTTTGCTAGTGCTGAGTGCTAGAATGTGGAACATTTAAGAATGTGTGGGTGGAGGTAAGAACTTAGGGGATGGATCCTCTGTCTCACTACATGACCCTGTGCTCTCTCCCATGTTTTCTGATTTCTCTAAGCCCTGTTTCCTCACCCACAAAGCTAGAGTCACTGGTAACACTTTCCTGGTAGGGTAGCTGTGTACACTGAATTTGCTGATTTATAGAAAACCATTTGAACATCTTCTCACACATAAGTAGTCATAGACATGGCAGTACCAGCATTCTGGAAATTCACCTCAAACAAAATTCTAAAACCACAATGAGGAAGACTGACTTAAGAGGTTTTAAGGAATAATATTTACCATGAGAATATGTCAGAGAAAATAATCTCATTCTAATTTGAAAGTTGCACATCACAGAGCCTGATAACTGAACAGTTGACTGCTGATAACATTCTCACATTTAGGGTGACAAGGTCTTCTGTATGGGATCTGGACTGTGCACCACAGTATCTCCCACACATAGTGAGAGGCCCTGTGAAAACAGTGACATTTCAGTCAAATAAGAAACATGTATGTATTATTTAGAAATCTAATCATTATCCTCAGCGGAATTTCTACTCATAAATCAAAAGTAAGTGTCAATGAAATAATCAAAGAACAAGAAAGAATTTTTTTTTTGTTGTGTGTTTTTTTTTTTTGTGTGTGTGTGTGGGACCCTCGCCGGCGGCCAGGTAACAAACCAGCACTGCAGAGGCTGCGGGCAGCCTCTCAACACAGTGCTCAACCACTGTGCCACCAGGGGAGGCCCAACAAGAAAGAACTTTTAAAATATGCTTACTTAAATTAAAAAAAATTAGTAGATGGTTGGGAAAAACCAAACCAAAAAGAATGGGCATAAAATACTAAATATAAAAAAAAAAATTGAAGTTTAGTAGAATAGTCTGGTCCAATGTTAAAAAATCTACTCACTAAAAAGCTGGGAAAGCTAGAAGCCCAAAACAGTGAAAATAACTCAAAGAATGAATGATTATAACAACCTTAAGCCAGTTATTTTATCATCTCTGTAATTCCTTGCTTGGAATATGAATCCAAGTAGTTATAGCAAAGGAAGGAGTTGAGAGAGTGCCTGAATAATTTTTCTCTATCTTTCTAGCCTGACTTAACTTAGAAGTAGGAAATATTAAAGGATAATGAGAAGCTAAAAGGTAATTTGAAGACTCCCCTCAACATAAATATGTAATGAGCAATGAGCCAAACCTATGATGTCCCATCAGTGGCTGTTTCAAAGAACAGAACCTGAGGGTTGAAGTGACAGCTTCCTTCATAATGAGGCAGCAGTTCAGGGAGAAATGCTGCAGGGATTCTAGGCCAAAGCGCTCAGCTGCCAAACAATGGCAAGGGTGCCCACTGCAGCAGATGACCCCAGAATAATGCCTTATCAGAGCTAACTGAAAGAGTAAAAATCAGTGGTATTGAAAAGACAGAAGTTTAAGCCTAGTTTGTTTCCTTTAACTTTAATTCCTTTTATGTGTCCATACATAGCAGTTTCATGTAGCAATGTTTATACTAATAACATGCATTCCATCAGAACTGTTTTATAGATTTGCCCTGTATTTGCCTTTAATATGTCCCCATCTCTGCTTATAGGCCCTAGATTGCATTCACCACAAAGTGGCTTCTCTACCTTGTATCACTTCCTGCCATTTGCAGAAATGAGCCAGAAGGTGACAATGAACCTAAAAAGGGCGTCCTCACCAACACAAAATGACATTAGTGATAGTTCATGAGATTTGGAGCTGAAAGAGACATTTCAGTTATCAAGGGGGAGATACTCAGCTATCTCTCATTTTAGGTGAGGACTCTGAGGCCAGAAAAAGATGAAAGAGGTGGCTAAGCTCATGCAGTTAATTGGTGACAGGCCTTGGAGTAGAACCAGGTATCCTAATTTATGCAATTCCCACAATATCACCAAACCACACCAACATTTTTGAGATGTGAGGGTGAGGCGGAGGTAGAACTTGGCTCTGAAGCTGCCAATCTTACATAAATCTTATGCTGCTCTTGCAAAGGAGAGTATGAAACCAAGGAATATATATATATATATATATATATATATATCCTTTTTATTTCCATGCTTCATACTGTTACACAGTATTATAATTAATGAAAATATTTTTAGCATGTGTTCCAAATGTAATCTATTTTCCTGCTTCCCATTTGTTTGTCTCTACTACCCCCTGTGTCCTCCACCATGTGTTCAGTGCAGACTTTTGCTCTCATCACATTGCCTAACCAAGCAGCACCATTAGTGTCTCAGTCTTGCCCAAAATGAGGACAGATTCTGACTAGGTCTCCATGTGCTAAGATACCAGGAGCCATTGCAGCCCCTGATTCCATGCCTTGCCTTAGGGGAATAAAAAAAACTTGGGTTCCAATCCAATTCTGGACTTAATTGAGGTATATTTGTGGGGGTATATGGAACCTGGCCTCCTATCAGCACTAATATTCAATGGTTTACAGAATGCCTGATCCTTCAGTATGGTTTTCCCATTACATTATCTTAGAACAAAAGATTCATTTGTCAAATATGAATTAAGACAATGGGCTTATGAACATGGAAGCTCAGTCAAAGACGAAAGAAAAAATAGCCTGATAAAAGAGAAACAGCCTGTTAAAAGGACTACTGAATTACTAGCATGGGGAAAACACATTTTCAAATTGCACTGACAATGGTCAATACATGATACTAGTTCCCTAATAATTGGAATACATAGGGTTTGAATTAGGAGACACCCTTTCCAACATCATTTCCATTACCTTGCAAAACATGTGTGTTCTCAAACTGAAAATAATGAGATCTACAGGCCAGGAATCCTGGCTTAAGAATATGATTCATTCTCACTTCTGTTGGAGTTTATATTATTATTTCCATTGACTTGGAGGCAATGATGACAACCAAGTCACTTTGAAATCTGAACATCAGTGGACAAGTAGTGAGAAAGAGGAATATAACACTTGGGGGTTAATCAACCCTAATTACCATAGTAACTAAGATTATAACACAATGGATCACAGAGAATCATGTCTGAACATATCTTACTATTTTCACCTCCAGTGACAACTATCAGTAGGCAAGCAACAACTGATCCCCCAAAAGAAAGAGTATTAAGGACTCATACCCTTTCTTGAGGAGTGTCGTCAAGGTGAGAAACCTTTCAAAAAAAGATGAATATCAATTATAGCAGCAGGTTAAGCAACAGCAGAGGGGGTATATTTGAATTAAAAAGTATCTTTAAACTATTTTTCAGAGATTGTAGTTACCATCTTTGAAGAAAATCTGTGATTGTCTGGATTCATTCCTTCCCTGTTGGGCATCCCCTCTTGAAAGCATCTTGTTCTTAAAAAAAAAAAAAAAAAATGTAGTATCAGTAGAGGGTGTGGACAGATCTGAATGGCACAAGAGAAACTGATTTATGTGTCTGCGCAGATCTGCACAAACTAATCTGCCCAGAGAATTACCTTCCAATACTACCAGGTGTCTCTGCCATCTCCTCCCCTCAGTCTTCGGGCTGGGATCTGTCAGCCTCTCTTAGATCCACTGAGGCAGGAGCTGCCACAGTTCCAGCTTCAAGTCCAGCCTGAGATTCTGATATCCCCACTCCCCTACACTCAGATGAAGGGTTGTGTCATAGGAATTCAGCTTTGACTTCCCCAGGCACTATCCATAGGACTCAGGTTGCAAAACTCTGAAGAGTAGGAGATAACAGATTTTTCTCCCTTACTCACTCTGTGAGACTGTTCCAAAGTTAGTGGTTCCCTACACTTTATCTCCCTCTCATGATCAAGCAACTAGCTGGATATTTTCATCAGATGATGCCAATTTGGAAATGACCCACCTTGTACTTGTTCCTCCTTCCCTGCATCTCCTTCTTCCCCCCTTACTCTGGAACTATACTTCACCATAAGACATTACCATGGAAAGTTTTACCTCAAGCTCTGTTTTCTGGAGAACCCTGGCTAAGACTAAATATTTTAAATCACTCCTCCAAGAGAGTTACTCCAAAATTGAAAGGCGTCTGTGTGCTGCTTTCTCTGAGTTTACTGTGAGAAGAAATATATCACTACCAGAAGGTTATATTTCAATAGATGAACAGTCTCAATTTGTCCTTGCCATAAAATAAAAGATTTAATGTTGCTCTAATATTTTTTATTCATTTTCTCAAATATTCACTCCACTAAAATCTGTGCCTAACTGTACTTGAAAGACTTTTTCTTCTAGTTATTTCACTTTTCCAAGCATCTTTTCATACACTTTTATTTGAAAATGTACCATTTAAGTTTGAAATATTTCCATACTTTAAAAAAGCTCATTGTTGGATAAACTATATTTTTAAAAAGTTTGCTTCATAAGTCAGTTTTTTTAAGAAGGGAGGGGTGTTGTTTTTAAAATTAGAATATGAGTTTATAAAAGGATAGAATGCTTAAATTTTTACTAATTCCTCCTGTTACTAAAATGGAAATGTAAGACACATTATTTTGAGACTATCACACAAAAAGTATAGATGTTAAAATAGTGTTCCAGCCCCTCTCCATTACTATATAGAGAGAAGGCTGCCCTATCAAAAGAAGAAAATCAATATGCCAGCAGGGGAGACAGAAGGGTATCAAGTTATAAATACCTAAAAGTTCCACTGATTTAATTGAAGCATTCCGATATATTTATTAATAAATCTCAGCGATAGTGATATATTGGAAATGAACTGCATGTTCATTAATAGAGTGTTCAAAAGGTCCCAGAGAGACTGACTTGGTCCTACAAGAGGTTACTTCAGATATTCAGCGTGCACTTGACAGAGTGCTCAAAAAATCAGGGCTTATATAGGTCAGTACAACTAAACAAAATAAATGAAGCATTCACAATCATAGACTCTCAAGGGAGGAAAATGTTAGGCTTCCCTGCTTTTTACAATAAATTCTCTATTGGATTTTTTTAAATTTGTTTTTCCTGAGATGTAGCAGAAAGCTTAAAAATGTTTTCCTTAAGCAGGTTCCAACAAAAAGAAACATACCACTCAGAGAATATCAATTGAAATCTCAGCACAGAGGTGGTGATGTCTCACCACCAACAAATAATAGACTTAAGACTGAGTGAACAGATGTCTACTGCTTTGGGGAAGCAGCTATACATCTATCTTATTTTCCTCTGTGGAAAGTTAGGTAGATTATGTTGTGTTCTCTCCTTTTCAGTTTTGACATACTGGCCTTTGAGAAAGTCATCAAATCCCTGAGAATATCAATTTCCTTTCTGCCAATTCAGCCTTCATCTATATGCGAGAGTCCTAGTAAAGATTTTACAGAACTCTTCTAAATATAATCAGTTTCAGGGAATGGTGTCTCCTTTACTTATCTCAAATAAGTATACAAACCACACATCTTTTAAAAAAGAAATCAGAAACCCCTGATCTATACAATTGGAGAATAGAGATCATAAAGCATTTAGAAAATCATGCTTTTTTTTTAATAAAATGTGTTTGTTATAGTAAAAACATGTTTGAAAGAGTAGGAAGAAAAAAGCAACTTTGAAATCCGTAGTCTATTTGCTTCTCAAAGAAAAAAACCTTATCTCTAGTTGTTAATGAATAGGAAGGAAAAGGAAGAAAGATAGGAAGAACTGAGTAGGGTGGTTGTTTTGGCAAGAATAAATATAGAAATAGCCTGCAATAGAAGCTTGGAAACATAACTATTGCTGATTGGAAGTTTGGCATCATAGGGAGACAGGGCAGAAGAAGAGAGAGAAGAAATAGCATATATTCTATTTTTGTCTGAAATTAGGCAACATCAAGCAGTAGCCCTTCAAAGTACTGTGCTGTAAACTAGCCTTCTAGACTGTGAGCTCCTGGATAACAAGGTCTCTGTAGTTATGTCCTTTATACCCTGCCTGCCACACATCATGGGGCACACAAAATGTATGCAGTAGATGTTTATTGACTGAATAAATGACTGTAAGAGGGAAGCTAAAATGGGCATGATACAGAAGCATGAGAAAGTTAACACGTGGAGGATGTCATCTGTCAGTGACTGCCACATACAGAGGAGCCGAGAAACAGAGGCAGCCTGGTCTTTTATCGACTGTCTCCACCATGTGAATTTGACTAGAATCCTAACCAAAGCCTCCTGTGCAAATAAGTTAAAGGTGTCACTGCTGACATCTAAAATTGTCTTGAAATATTACATTATCTTCTGAAATTTTGCTGTTAGAAACTAGGACTTCCATAGATTCCCTATGCCCTCACTCTTCCTTCTTGGCTATTCTATGAGCAGCTTGGTTTTACCTCTATCTCAGAGACATGCATATTCAGAATCACATTTACTTTATTTACTTGTGCAACTCACAAATTCATTGCACCCATTTGATTGCAGAATGACTTGAGAATGTATTCTACTCACATTTTATGGTTACAATTAAGAAAAATATTGGTTTAAATTCCAATCTGTAGAAATAATTCTTCCTCGTCTACCACAAATGTATTCAGTGGCTATTTGTTTGGGATGTTTTTATGTCCCCAGACACCAATTCAGAACAGAATATAGGATAAGTCATTACTTAAAGCACAGCTACTCTTTAAATTGAGTGTTTAAATGACCTTGTGAATTTCTGTTTCTCTAGGTGACATTCACATTAAGCTTATAACTTAACAAACCAGCATGTGAGACTCTTGGGCACTAGCACGAGAAAGCACCACCCCTACTTCTGACCACTCCTCTCAATGGCCCCTGAGAGCAAGTGTGCTGGTGCCAGAAGCATGTGCCAGTCAGCATTTGAGGAGGCATTCAGAAGCTGTCCTCTTTCATAGCTCTCAAGCTAATTGACACATTGGTGTACCACACAATTCTGTCACCCCTAGTTCTGACATTGGCTGTTCCATTAATTGCTCTCTCTCCCATTTTGGCAAATGCTGCCATGAACAAAGACATTTTATTTCCACCTATCACCAGAATATTTGTATACATTTATATGCCACCTTCATATACTATACATAATCTTTACATACCACCAATTACCATCCTGGGGATAGTTTTCTTCTGACTTGTCTCCATTGTGCAGACAGAACGTGTACAATATTTTAAACTATAATGGAATATACCATACAAATCACACATTACAGACGTTATTAGAGTATGTTTTACTACAGACTTTTTTGGCATGACAGGTTATCAAACAGATACATGAAACTCATCCTTTCTGCCTTCACTTTTTTCCAATTTCATCAACTAAATACCATAGCCATAGAAATACATACATCCCCTATATCTTGTTCTTATTGTTGTTCTAGGATTAGGAGACCTCAACCCAAGTAATGACATCAAAGTACAACTGCTTTGCTCATATGTCCACTCTTGAACTTCATCTTCCCTTTGCTTTATTTTGAGCATTCCCAGCTCATTGTTCTCTGACACTTACCCTTTCAAGGATAGGCCCCCCAAACAAAACTAAAACACACTAAGCTGCTAATACTGAGCAAGCACTTCATGAAATTAGCCCTATTGTAGCTTCCTTCTATAAATGGACAGCTGTTTATTAATAGAGAAATTACACTAGTGAGTGATCAATGAGGATATATTCCAGGGAAGAAATACTTCTCATAGGAAATTACTTCCCTCCATTCATAAAATGGACCTAACAGTTTATTTTTAGACTTCAGCCTTCCAAAATGCCAATAACCTATATGACTAATTTCTAAATATCCCTGGAAGACACTCAGTGTCTTGTCTATCACAGCCAATAATTAGATTTTTCTATTGGATCCTATTGTTTCTTGTTAACCACATGTAAATTTGATTTAATTCAATAATATATATATTATCATCCCAGGATATACCTAATGAATTTTACAGTATTGTACATTTGATAAAATAATTCCTGACTCCTAGTGTCAATTATTTCATTAAGGAAAGTCTGTGACTGCAGATGATATGATAATATACATAGAGAACCCCAAAATCTCCACAGAAAAACTAATTCAACTCATCAATCAATTCAGTAAAGTGGCAGGATACAAAATCAACACACAAAAGTCAGTAGCTTTCCTATACACAAACAATAAATCTGAAGAAGAAGAAATCAAAAAAACCATCCCTTTTATTATCGAAACAAAAAAAATCAAATACTTGGGAATAAATCTAACAAAAGAGGTAAAGGACCTATACAAAGAAAACTATAAAACACTGTTAAAAGAAATAGAAGACACAAAGAAATGGAAAGACATCCCCTGCTCATGGATTGGAAGAATAAACATTATTAAAATGGCCATCCTACCAAAAGCAATATACAGATTCAATGCTATTCCAATCAAAATCTCAATGGCATTCTTCAAAGAAATAGAACAATTATTGATG